AAATTCAACAAAGGGATGTATCTTCTTTCGTACTGTCTCTGTCTCCTTGCCTTCTGCTTCACGTAAGGTTCATCTGCTCCATCAGGAATTGCCCTATTATCGGTAATAGTCAAATCAATGGTTGTAACTTCATGAAGAGCTTCACTGTTTCCCTTCTCAAAACTGGGTAGAATTTCTTTTTCGACAGTGGCTTTTTCACGTCTTCAGCGACGTCTTTTGTTCCATTATTCACTTCGTCCCAACTGAAATGTCCTGGACCGTGATAATACCAAAGCCTGTTGGCATGCACCACTTTTGGTTTGCCTCGCCGACCACATTTTATTTGGAAAGTCACGTCTGAGAGACGATCCACTATGTCATATGGGCCTTCCCATGGAGAAGACAACTTAGGAGACTTCCCTTTCGTCTTCCTGGGATTATACAACCACACCTTGTCTCCTGGTACAAAGCTGACTTCAGTAGATCTCTTATCATAACATAGCTTCATGGAATCAGCAGACGTTTTCAAGTTTGAACACACCCATCCTTTCCGATAACACTTTCACAAACTCTGACACATTTTCAGGCAACTCTTCTTAAGGTGGGCGTCCTGTTAACAGATCCACTGGCAACCGAAGTTCCCGACGAAACATCAGCTTTGTTGGAGTGTATTCAGTGGCATCATTCTCTGCTGTTCTATAGGCCATCAACAGTGGAGGGAGTAAGACATCCCAGTCATCTTGGTGGATGTTACAAAACTTTGTCAATTCCTATCCCAGTGTCCAGTTGTACTTTTCTACCATCCCATTAGACTGTGGGTGAAGTGGTGTTGTTCTGGTCTTTCGTATGCCAAACAAACACAGCTGATTCAAAGTTATGGCCTTGATCTGAATGCAGTTTGTATGTCATACCAAATCAATAATAGCCAAAGCTACTGTTGTAGCTTCCTGATTTGGTATTGCATATGCCTCAGGCGACTTAGTAAATAATACATCACCACACAAATGTACCTGTTTCAAGCACGAGTTTGGGGCAAAGGACCAGCAATGTCAATGGATACTCTAATATTTTGAGTATATTAATGTTTTAGTATAGCATATTGTTACGTCTCTGTATGTTTGTTTGTTAATTCTTCGACGATATAAGTTCTTTCTTAAATAAAACTTGTTTATTCTTCCTCGATACAACTTTGTAATACTCTGAATTTTCACAGTTACACATTATAGTTCACAACAATTCACTCACTTCCTACCGCGCTTAGGCCTAGACTTTATTGTCCGTCTCCGCGAACTAAAGTTCCGATCTCTGTATCTGCTATCCTCGGTTCCCGCCGACCGTAACTGCCATCCTTGGTTCTCTCTGCCTCGTCTACTTCGTCTCAGCCTCGTCTCTCTGCCTCGTCTAACTCTCTCACTGTCTAGCGCACTTATATACGACAATACTGTCTGTTCTAGAAACTTCTAAGACTCTCAACACGTGCTACCAGCGTCACTTAACTTCCGCTGTCGTAACACACTAACGAATCTTCTAGAATACTCGTCACGTGACCCCCGCTGTCGTAACACACTAGCGAATCTTCCAAAATACTCGTCACGTGAGCCCCGCTGTCGTAACAATATTCTGAATCCATCAGATGAAGTTTGTCACTGTTATTATAATAGGATCTTTCCATTAAAATGGTAATCTTAGCCTTGTTTGCTGGAAAAATCACAATTAATTTATTTCATCATAAATTTCTTATGTCATTTTGCTTTTCAACTGTTATGCTGCTTTTTGTTGTTGTATTTATTGCATCTTTATCGTAGTGGTGCACTTTATTAGCATCTTAGCTTAATCATTAAAATATTTGGGTGGATATAATGATGTCCAAAATAAAGATGTTGTTTGGAGTTTGGTTGAATCTTAAGTTTAATGATAAACAGATTATCAAGTATCTATAGCTGAGATTGGCAATATTATCAATTACAGTCTGACTATTTTCATTATATCTAGCGAACCTTTCCTTTTACCAGTTTGTCAAAGCTGTTAATTTTGTTTCAATTTTATTCTGTAATTGTGTCTTCATATTAATATTTTTTTCCTGTCACTCAGACGAACACATGTGTACTTTCCAACGTCAGTAAATAATGCTTTATTTTAATATTAACTTCAACTCCATGTCTTGCCTTTTTTATTTCCCTTGCAACAAATTGTTCAACACTTCCTCTGCATATTAGATCCATAAACCTCTTGAGTAGTTAGGGCAGGGACTGCATGCCTTGCCGTGTATCGCCCTCAGTGAGGGAAGGAAAGGGTAGAGATGATGATGTGACTAGAGAAGATGATATCATAGTTCCACAAAGTGTCACGAGATGGCGCATTGCTAGGGATGCGTTGCTAGACTGTCGTGACAGGCGGACATGACAATGGAACATCAGACATGATTATATAATAGTTACACGAAGTGTGACCAGAGAGCACTGGCGCCAAACAATGATGTCACCACAGATAGTGCGTTGCTAGGGGTGCTTTGTTAGGTCATCATTACAAGTGTACATGACTTCATAGTTCCACAAAGTATAATCATAAGGCTCATTGCTATGCCATCACTGGCCAGGATACCGTACTGGAGCCACATATTATGTGTGTTCTTTTCTTTTTTCACCCTAGCTGTACTACTGGCAGTTCTATTCTCACTGAAAACCCCATGAAAGGCTGTTGCCCGAAACTTTTTTTTTGTAATTTCCTCGCCCACTCAATTCTTTTATTACATTGTAAATAAAAACAATAGTCCAAATAGGAATCAAATATAAGTTTGAATTATATTTTGATGTATTTGAAAAAACGTCAATAATATTATCAGGTAACTGGGTGTTTTCTATTGTTGCTCTGCAACAATACCACGTTCCAAAAGTTCGAAAAAATAACGAGTGCTTTGGGTGTCTAAAATGGAAAATAGAAATGTAATTGAAATAAAAATAAATAAATTAATTAATCAATTAAAAGTGAGAAAATATATATGCTAGGAAAAAGATACGTGAGCTTGTGCTTAAGTATCTGTATGCTCGCCTACGTTTATATGCGCTCTCTCACACAAACACACCACCATAGACAGGATTATAGAAAATAAAATCTTTCATCTATTCCCTTCCTGTGAATAGTACCAAGCCAATAGATGAATTCATTTTCATCCTGTTGTTTCTTTGTCTTACTGTCAGTGAATGATGGAGGGCCAGTATTCTGAAGTGGTTAATGTTTAGGTAATTATCATTGAAATGTTTAGCCACAGGTTTTCTGGATCATAACTCTGAATGTTACAATTGTGTTCACGTGCTCGTTCAGACAACATCTTACCCGTTTCTCTTACATAGAGTTGCCCACAATGTAAACAGATGAATTAAGCACTTGTATCTACAAATGAACCACTGTTGTTTGATTATGTAAGTGGAGTTGTATCTAAGTACTAAAATACTGGTATTGATGTAACTAAGCACTTGGATGTATAGGTTAACAACTGTTTGATTGTGTATGTGGAGTTGGGTCTAAGTACTGAAATACTGGTAACACAGAAAAGAACCAAAAGATACATTAGTTCGTGCACGGTTGAACACACCAAAGAAATCACTCATCTTCAATGTGGTACAGGTTGTTGTGCACGTTCATCAACACCAGTACTTCGGTACTTAGACCCAACTCCACTTACACAATCAAACAGTTGTTCACTTGTACATCCAAGTGCTTAGTTACATCAACACCAGTACTTCGGTACTTAGACCCAACTCCACATACACAATCAAACAGTTGTTAGCCTATACATCCAAGTGCTTAGTTACATCAGTTTTACGAAATGATAGGGCCCAGCATGGCCAGGTGGTTAGGGCGCTCGACTGTGGGTCGCGGGTACGAATCCCCGTCACACCAAACATGCTCGCTCTTTCATCCGTGGGGGCGTTATAATGTGACGGTCAATCCCACTATTCGTTAGTAAAAGAGTAGCCCAAGAGTTGGCAGTGGGTGCTGATGACTAGCTGTCTTCACTCTTGTCTTTCACTGCTAAATTAGAGACGGCTAGCTCAGATACCCCTCGTGTAGCTTTGCGCGAAATACGTAACAAATAAACAAAAACGAAATGATAGGTTTAACCTTAAGTGTTTCTCTCAAAATGTTTTTGTTTTCAAATATCCCTAATTATTTTTAATTATTTTATAAACATGGATGTTTTGTGGATATGTCAGTATCAAAAGGAACTTGATTTTTACGATAATTATTTTTCGTCTTCAGTTTTATTGCATTATTATGACTGACCAATAATAGTCCAGCTTGTCTTACTAGAGTGTTTATTGATGGCTCTAGTTCTTGTCGCTGTTTGAGGTAGAACCTGAAAGCTTCAAGACACTTACTATGCTGTATATAACACTATATAAGGACTTGATATCTATTGTGAATAGTAATGTGCTAGAAGTAGTTATGGATATTTCATTAAACATTTGAAAAGCTTCGGTGCTGTCATTGATATACGTTGGAAGAGTACCTACCAAAGGTATCGTGATTTTGTCTAAAAACTAGAGATTAACTCTGTATGACAGTTAGATGTTAAAACTATAAGCCTTCCGGGGTTTCCAGGCTTATGTACCTTAGGTAGGGTATAAACAATGATGTTAATGGTTCTTCTATAGTTAAGTGTTGCGCATCTAGTTGGAGTTCTTCTGCATCTATTAAATTGTTTATAACCTCCTTTACAGCGGTTTGGTATTCTTCGAGGTGATCGATTTGTAGTTTTAAAAAGTATTCATCATTAGAGTTATTGTTCTGCCTTCGATATATACTATTCTGTTAAATTTTAAATCACCAGAGGAAGGGACGTCTCAGCCAGAAACGTTGTGAACTTTAAAACATCCATTAAACGTCAGCCATTTTTCGTAGTATAATTTTTTCCACTCTTTGGTTTTCGAACTAATGAAAACTATTGTCTCTTAGGCAAAACGAACATTAAACATTTGAGTATGTATTAATAACAACAGCAAACCTAAAATAAAGAGCCATTCGAAGTCCAGCTAACAAATACTCAACAAAAGTTTATTTCAATGCATGAGTAAAATAAAAACCACCAACTTCCTTATGTCCCTGATCTGGAAAAGAAATAAAAAACTCATTACGAGCAAGTTTAACATTCAAAGCAACGAAACATTATTTAGAAACGTGAAAATCAAGATAAAAGAGAAATGACAGACAAACAAGAAAGTTGTCTGCAGTGTCCAATGTAAATGTCATTAAGAATGTATTAGAGAGACTTTTACAGTTAGGGCATGAAAGGCCATCAAAAATTCGAGGCAGAGAAACTTCCGTGAAAATAATTGTCAAAGAAACTGATCTTAAAACGAGAAGTAAACAACATGAAGATGTTAACATAATTAAAATCAATAAGTGCGGATCATGCATGAAACTAGAATAATGATTAAACTGAAAGTGATGTGCTGCCTTTATTTCACAAAACACGAACATTGTTGATTGCAAGTTACGTGTTAAATTTTGATTTTTATGTATTGTGTATTCTCGTATGTACATGAAATTTTATGCTAACTTTTTCTTATATGTAATTATATATATATATGTGTGTATGAGTGTGATGCTTATAATTATTGTAGTTGATCAGTATCAAATTTATTTCAAAGATACGTGTATGTAGTGACTAGTTCTAATAATGGCTGGAGACGGCTTAAATGGGTAATGAAGAAAAACTTTAATATAAGTTTAACATAACAGCAAAGTCTCAAAGTGGGTTCCTCGTCACCGAAAGTGACTAGTTCTGTTTCCTACTAACAGATGGGGCGTCTTGACTGTTGTGTCGTTTGGGCAGTGTTTTGAAGATGCATTATAGTTGCTGATTAAGAGAAGCATTAATTACGACCGAAAATTTCAGCAAGAGATTTGAAATAATAGCTTCGTTTTGAGTGTATTTACTGATAAAGTATTTTTTTTACAAATTACACTTTAAATAGCCTCCTAAATTTAGCATACATTATATGCACCACAGAAAACATCGATGAAGAACTTGCATACTTAACTCAATGCTATACTAACCTGAACCACTTTCCTACTAGAGTAGTTAGAGAAACTATTAAAGATTAAAAAACACATACAAAAGACATTTAACGAACACACAAACTAAAAAAATAAACACTCCACAAAAAAAAGAAACCTAATCACTTGCACTATCCCATATATAGAAAATATCAACATACCTCTATCAAAAAGAATGGCACATAAATATAACCTTAACATAACAACTAGATTTATTTTCACCACTGGGATGAAAATGAAACATATTTTAAGAAAATTATATAACGAGCTCACCCCACTAGGAAACATTTACAAAAATAAAGTGTACCAATTGTCCAGTCTTCTAACATAGGTGAAACAGAACAGAACTTCAACATCAGGTTAAAAGACCCTCCCCTCCCGCTCTGTACCCCAGACATTCCTAATCTTATAGTAAATATTTCACATAACATATTCCACATCTTTTCATACTTATTTACTTTTTGTTTGTTTTTTCTGTTCAGCCATAAATAAATAATTTGCACAATCACGACGATTGGTATGCACACACATAAGTAACCACTATTAGTTCTAAAATTTAAATACATTGTTAGATTGTTGAATGTTGATTTAAATATTAAAAATATCCTTTACCGCTAAAACTTGTGTTCTTGAGAATAATAGCACTAGTGATCTAAACTAATGCAGTGCTCCCAGTGGCGCAGCGGTACGTCTGCGGACTTAAACGCTAGAAACCGGGTTTCGATACGCGTGGTGGGCAGAGCACAAATAGCCCATTGTGTGGCTTTGTGCTTAATTGCAAACAAACAAACTAATATGGTTGGTGTAAAATATATCGCATTGTTTAAAGACGTCTGTAACTGAGTGTTGTAACTAGAGTGAGGTATTTTATCCGTAGTTTCCAGTGAAGTGCTAAGATCCTGTAGAGTTCGTATTTGATCAAATCATTCACACGAAAAAAAAGCTAGGAAAGTAGAACAAAAGAATCAAGCATATAATGATGAGATATTTACAAAACAGAACAGCATGAACTACTAGCAACATGATTATAAAAGGTGGTGGTACGTTTTACCCAGTTGTGTCTTGTTCAACTTAGCTGTTTGAACACTAAATCCTTACATATTTATACAATCTTTATATAAGTTGGCTCTTTTTGTAGATTATATATTTAAACAGCTTGGTTCTTTTTTGTACGTATCACATCTTTATGTGGCTGTTCTCTTTATTTTAAAGTTGTTAGTTTTTACATCTAAAAGAGCTTTTTTTCATTTAAATTTTCCTCAATACAAAGATTAATTAATTTTATTTGTGGATGTATTTTTTGTTTTCTTCTTTATATAAAGAGCTTGTTTTTTCAGCAAATTATGGGTTTATTTTATCAGCCGATATGAAAGATGTAAAAGCATTTAAATGATCTTGATCCACAGTCATTTAAATTGCAATGGTTTTTAATTTGTATATTCAAATTTAAGAACTTTAACAAAATTAGAGAAATTTTGGATATAGTGCTTGCCATCTTTTGGACAATTATTATTAATATTAACAACATTAAAAAGACCTTAGCAGTAAATTTCCAAAAGTATTGAAACCGGTCCCATTCCTTAGTTCAGAATAATGTAGGAAAGATGATTTGTACCTATAGTACGGACTTTGTTATCAAAGAATAACAGTAATTTTACAAATTTTTGGTTATTCATCTTAATTTGTAACCGATATTAAATTTCTGTTTTTGTTTGTTTGTTTAGATATGTTCATACAAGAATAGTGGCACTACAGCATTTAGAACAAATTTAGCCAAAAATTATTTCCTATACAGTCAGTCACACTGGTGCCTCTCCTGATAATTTGGCTGGATATAATACTTGTCACTTTTCTGACCAAGGTGTATAAGAAGGAAGAGCAGGATAGAAAAGATAAACCATTGATTTTTCGTATTCTTTGAAAACGTACTGAAAATAGAAATTTTTATAAAAAACAAAAGGAGATGGTACTTCAACAAACATGTAATTTAAGGTAACTTTTCGTTTTAAAATAAATCGTTTATTTCAACTGAAAAATGCAATATTTGGAAATAAAATATTGTAAATTTTACAGACACATATTTGGTAATATACAGATATATATATATATACATAATTTGGACTTGTACACACTTGTTACATATATACACTAACTGAAGTTACATACATATGACATGTACAACAGAACTGGCACAAAAACATAGAAATAAAACAAAGTACCCCGTCTTCGATTTGAAGCAATTAAATTCATTTTTGTTTTTGTTCACACATAACTTCATTTGATAAATATAGAAATTAAATTCATTTTTGTTTTTGTTCGCATATAACTTCATTTGACCAATATACTGTAGAAATTAAATTCATTTTTGTTTTTGAACACACATAACTTCATTTGACCAATATACTGTAGAAATTAAATTCATTTTTGTTTTTGTTCACATATAACTTCATTTAACTAATATACTGAAGAAATTAAATTCATTTTTGTTTTTGTTCACATATAACTTCATTTGACCAATATACTGTAGAAATTAGATTAATTTTTGTTTTTGTTCACATATAATTTCACTTGACCAATATACTGTAGAAATTAAATTCATTTTTGTTTTTGTTCACATATAACTTCATTTGACCAATATACTGTAGAAATTAAATTCATTTTTGTTTTTGTTCACATATAACTTCATTTGACCAATATACTGTAGAAATACCACTTTAGGCTGAAGAAAAGCTCTTACGGTAAGAAATAAACCAAATGAAAAAACGTATATGTGTTAACGTTATATTTATAAGTTATTTAAATTTCTTTCAATCAAAGATATAATGCTTTGCTTACTTTTGTATATATGTAAATTACATGAAGCTTAATGGATGAAAACAATGTTCCGCTGGAGCTTGCAAGTAAATATTTAAACAATAATAATCCATTAAATTAATCAAACCAAAAATTTTTATATACAAAGTGACTTCTAAAAGTGTAAATAAAAATATGGTACACAGATCTAGGGTTAAAATGAGAAGAAACAAGCTTAAATACGTTGAAGGTAATACACTTTACAAGTTCTGGATCTTCTCAAAAGAAGATAATAGTAATTAATAGCATAGTAAGAAGATTAATATTCTCCCGATGAATGCTTCTAAGACTGTTTGGTTGACACGATAGGCAAGATGTGCTTCTGACAAATCCATTTCTTGAATTTGATACTTCAGGTGGTGAACTCGTGCTGTCTTCTTTTACCGTAGTTCTACTGTTTGTTCTCAGTGATACTTTCACTGTACTCAAACTGTTCGACTTCACATGAGTAGTCAGTATCACGTCTTTCATTAGTGAATCAATGGTGAGATTTGACATAAGCTTGTCTGTCAACTCGCCCGAAGGACCCCAACAAAAACCATTGTGCAGCAGTTTCTCGTATTGTTTTGCTGATTTCCACATCCAGGCTAGGCTATAATCGCACCAGAAGAAGTTATTTGATATATCAAGAGAAGCATTAGCCAGAGAGTTGGGCCCATTATTCGGGATAAGAGAATCTGGCTCAGCCGAACTGAAGTTGTTCTTAGAAAATACCACTGTTTCTTCGACCGTAACATTCCAGAAAGCTCTGCTCTCCACGGCCTCCACAGTGTTCCCTTCAAATCGAAATTTACCGATTCTGGCTGATATTGCTTCCCCTGAAATACGACTAAACTGACAGTCTTTAAAAAGTATCTCATTTATGTTCTCAAGATTTAAAGAGGCTTTTCCCATGAAGTGGATGGAACTGTTAACAAAAGTTAACTTCCTTATATTGTGTAATATCATCGATGAATTTTGTAACTCGGAAATGTAGCTGTTGGCTATTATTAGCTGGTCAACATTGATCATGATAAACGCCAGTGGCTCCAAAGTCTCAATGTAAGAGTCAAATATCTGGAACTTTTGAATGTTATTGAACACTCCAAAAGCTGACAATGGCACATGACCCATTCTGACATTCCTAATGTCCACCAGACTAACATTTTCCAGGCCACCGATGCCGTGGGATTGTATGTTCAAATTTTCTATGTTATGTATCTTCAAAGTTCCCAGGTTTTTTACTTCTCCCATTGCAAAAGGTTCGATTAAAAACGACTGTAAGTAGGAGAAATGTAGCTCCTCTAGAGAATGATGTGACATGAAACCCAGCGATAATGTCACTTGTCGACACCCACGGACCATAATGTTTGTTGTTTCAAACGTAGTGACACTGAATAATCTAACATCTTGTCGTTGTGCGCATGTGCAGTTGATCATCGAACCAGTACAGATGCAAGCATCCGGAGAAGGGCATAAATGATATATTCCTTCACACGATGGAAGAAGCCAGACCAAAACCCATACATATACTAATGTCATCTGAAAAATATACAGTCATATATATTTATCGAGCATAATTGGGTGAGTCAAAACCAAAGACTTATCAAAGCTTTTAACAGCTTTTTTACTCTTGGTGAATACATGAAGAAAGTGCTAACAAATGCATTACATTTACAAAAACAAAGCTTTAAAATGTAATAAGGATGATAAATTCTAAATTCCCTCAACACAAAATCCAGGATTAACACGTCTTTAAAGTGTAGTAATCATCTCATCATCTTATTGGTTATGTGGATTATACAGATGGGTAGAAGATAGTACATTGCATTTTTTTAAAACTGAGATTTATAATAAAATACAACAGAGGCCACTTCTTAAAAGCCGCACATTTTATAAATTAACGCTTAGGCCCATATAACAAACAGTAACAGTCTGTTTTAACGGTTAGGCCCATAGAATAGGGAGTAGCTCTCTGTGGATTGCTTACAGTAAAATAAACTTTTAAAGTACATAGCATACAATAAATAAAAGATAATCGTAATCTGTAATGCTATATTATGGCAAAACCCACCGCTAAATTGATGTTTAAATTTTTTCCTAATGTCAGCTGATGATGATGTGAAATATAAACTTTCGGTTATTCGGGCTATGTTATATATAGTGGTTTCACACATTCATTTGTTATTTTAAAGGGAATCCCACATCTTATAAGTGCTTTAGTTTTTCAAAAACCATGGCTACACCTGAAAGAAGACACTTAGATGTTTCACTCATGTAGCTGACCGTCGAACAAACGGAAGTGCCGAGCTCTTTTGTTGAAAGCTGTTTCTCAAAAGATTATATTCATTCTCAATTTACTCACTCAGCAAAATTATTACAATCTAATACGTTATTATTGTAGAAGGACAGGTATTAAGCTATACAGAACATATTTCCAGTGGGTCATAGGTAAGTTACAACACTAAAATCTGGAAAGCGCCAATGGTTTATTATGTAGTTTTGCGCTAAAACATACAAACGAACAAATTTCATATTTATTAATATATGCTATTTTATGTAACTTTGTGCTTACCATTAAATGAAAAATAGAAACAGTCTAGTGATTTAGATAATAGTTAATAAAGAGAATCTGTCTGATAATTAATGATAAGATAAAACTCAGCGATTGCTGAAGAAAGAGAAATAATGTAATTGTTGTACAAGAAACAACATTTTTTTATCTGATAATATGAAAACAAGAATTTAGCTGATATTTAATTAAAAAAAGAATCGAACTAATATTTAGTAAAGAGAAGAATTTAATTTATATGAATTAATATTTAATGAGAACGAAAACTGAAATGTTAAGAATCAAGCAGATAATTAACAAAACAAGTATCTAAGTGATAAATAACGAAGACAAGAATATCTCTGATATTAATAAAGACAATATTTTAGCTGATATTTAACAATGATATGAATGTAGTTGATATTTAAATATACGAGTCTAATTGATACTTAAAAAATAAAACAATCCAGCTGATATTTAAGAAAGACAAGGATTAAGCTACAGAAAGTTAGCAACTATTTAAGAAAAACAAAAACATAGCTGATATTTGATAAAGATGACTATTTAGCAAAAGACTGACAATGGCAGGAATCCAGTTATTTGAAAATGAAGACAAGAACATAATGGCAAATTAATGATAAGTAGAATTTGATTAATAATAATAATTAGAGACATGGACCTGAGAAGTATATAAACTAGTAAAAGGTATAAAAATAACAAAGGAAAAACTTGGTAAGCAGCACTCGGTACATTTCAACTTCTTATATAGTGACAAGTAACTATTATGTATGTTACACGAAACTTAAAGGCACGTGCTAAACACGAGTTCTTCAGTAGTATTTAAGACAGTTAGTCAACACCACTCACTCGTGGGTTACTCTAATCAAATAGTGGAATTTAACTTTTATAACGCACTCACGATTTGGTTTTCCCGGTAAATAGGCACGAACCACAGAACTTCAGCACACTATTATTGTTAGTCAGTGGATAAAGTTTCCAGAATCTCTAGCTAAAAAAATCGAACCTTTTCCCAGCTATGTGGAACAAGGATAATTAAAAATTGGTGGAGGAATTAGAATGTGAATAATACGTTTTTACTCAAAAACTAGTCCTAACTGAGCAAGATTGAAAATGTGACTATTCACCATTAGATAGATATTGGAACGATGGGCATGGCTAACATTTTACCTTATTACACAAAGTCTTTTACGATCGTATGACTCTGATTTCGTCAGAACTAATGGTGACTGTTTCTTCTCTGTTATATATTTAGTAAAATGATGTACTCGGTAAACAATTGTTTCAGGTTTTCAAAGTGAAATAACTTAGTGGGTTTTGATTTTGCACTTTAACTACTTATTTAATGTCCCTTTATGTTATATAAGTAGCATACGAAACGTTCTTCCGATGCAAAGGTACCTTTGTTACTCGAGGAACTAAATGCCACTTTAGTTTGGCGTCGACTTCACTTATTTTGCTACCGACCTATTTCCTCAGTTGAGTAGCGTTATGGTAGTAAAAGTAAAACACTTATCAAGCTCGAACCGTTCGTTTTAAATTCGATGTTTAGGTGGTTTACTTCATCAGATTTCATTGTTTACTTCAGTATTAGATTTCATTGCCTACTTCATCAGATTTCATTGTTTACTTCAGTATTAGATTTCATTGCCTACTTCATCAAATTTCATTGTCTACTTCATCAGATTTTATTATCTACTTCAGTATCAGATTTCATTGTCTACTTCAGTATCAGATTTCATTGTCCACTTCATCAGATTTCATTGTCTACTTCAGTATTAGATTTCATTGTCTACTTCATCAGATTTTATTGTCTACTTCAGTATCAGATTTCATTGTCTACTTCAGTATTAGATTTTATTGTCTACTTCATCAAATATCATTGTCTACTTCATTAGTAGATTATAGTGTCTACTTCAGTATTAGATTTCATTGTCTTATTCATCAGATTTCATTGTCTTATTCATCAGATTTCATTGTCTACTTCATCAGAATTCATTATCTACTTCATCAGATTTCATTGTCTACTTCATCAGATTTCATTGTCTACTTCATCAGATTTCACTGTCTACTTGAGTAGTAGATTTATGTATAAACCTACCTTTTAACGCCCTAGATTTAATGTTCAACGTTACTAGCTGAAGAACTGTTCTTAGGATCAATACAGTGATCAGTTATATTACAACAATACATTATTTTAGTCATACCCATTGTTATACATATCATATACATTGAGAATTTTTCTAAAACCTACCTTTCAACGTCCCAGGTCTAATGTTCAACGTTACTAGCTGAAGAATTGTTCTTTCGATCAACACAGAGCTCTGTTATCTTATAATCCAGAAGGAAATTCCTCGCGGGATTTCCGGCCAAGGGCTCCTCCCATGTGTGTACAAAACTGACCCCAAAGTGTCAACAGGACCTAAGAATCCAGATATGGTTTCACATTATTAGCATTAAGTGTTTTTCAGAAGAACCTATATGTCTATTGCAGAAGCCAAGCAACACACACACACAGCCTTAAGATATCTTAATTACAAACATAAAATTAATGGGGAAATTGCAGTTTCAATGCAATAATAAGCACTTTGAGTTTTACTGTATTTATAGTGTACATGAAGTATATCAAATTAACTTTCTTTTCAATAACGTTATTCAGTGTAAAGTGGACTATATATTATATCCCTTGACAGCATGAAGAAAATATCCTCCGTTTAAAATAAGGCTCAAGCTGACATCTGTAATGCGTGCCTTTACAGGTAGCAACACTAGATTCACATCGACGGGAAACGGAAGTTACCTGAAACATTAAGATGAATTATTTCCTGTAGAGAAACTTCACCAATTAACAAATATGCTTACAGGAAAGTGTAATGAAGAAATATATGCCTTGATCTTTCAATCTTCACGTGAAAACGGCCCTATTATAAATGGTTAATGTTTTATGATTTTTTTATCAGTTATAAAAGATATGGATTGTGGAATGCTCATGTCAACTAAAAAGTCTCAATCTTTTCTAATCCTATACACCCTCCGGTGGCTCAACGGTGAGACTGGGGGCTTATAACACTTAAAGTCGGGTTTCGATACTCGCGGTGAGCACAGCACAGATAGCCCATCGTGTAGCTTAGCGCTTGAAAACAAACAAACAAATAAAAGTTTCTGATTCAGTTACAGCTACTTTAAAAGCATTATATGTATGAAGGTAGACGGTTTTCAACTGGAAAGTCTCAGGATGTTTAACAAGAAATCTCAATCTATTTTCAACCGAAATTGTTCTCAGAATTTAGAGAGCTTTGTATAACTCTAGGTTCCAAAATGCTGCTTTGTCTTCATTTTACAACTATAACTCTTATGAATCCGATTCCACTATCACTCACGAAGAATACACTGCCATAAAAGGAATGAGCTAATAACGAAAATATCTTCGTCACCCGACCTGATAAATGTAAAGGTGTTATCCTTAATAAACCCAATTACATTAACAAACTGTAATGTATTCAACACAAAATTCAAAGCTCTTAATGTTGATTGGTTAAAGCTCACCATAAAACGCGAAGAAAAAATACAGCGAACCTTAAGAAATTATAAGCATTGCAATTACATATCAGAAAACGTTGTTGAAGATAATTACTCTATAGGCTCACATCCAGATCTCTTGTATAGGTCACCTAAAGATCCCAAAACTAACATCTCTTATGATCCATTTTGTTCAGCATCGGTTTGCATACTTATAAATTGGTTAAATTTATTGTTTTTATTCTAAATTCACTTACTTCCAACGAGTTTACAGTTAAAGATTTCTTTCCCTTTACATAAGAAATTTCTAAAATTAATAATGCTGATTAATATATATACTGTCTAGTTTTTGATGATACAAATGTTACGTCTGTGGTCATTTGTTAATTTTCCGTATAATGTAAATTTTATTTCCGATGAAACTTCAGCGACACAAGTCCTTTCTTAAATAAAACTAGTTTATGCCCTCTCAATACAACTTTGCAATACAATTAATCTCTACAGTCACTTTAACTTAAACACACGCTATAATTAACAACGATTCACACACTTTACTCCGCGCTTGATTCAGTTGATCTATATCTATCTATGCCGTCACATCTCGCCGGTCTTATATATACAAAATAGAGGGCGTCTCGAGCTTTTGGGAACCTTCTAGATACTCATTACGTGTTACCAGAGTCATGTGACTTCCGCTGTCGTAACACAAATAATCTTTTCCCCAACAAAAATGAAATATACACAAGTTTTAACCACCAACAGTTCGACGAATTACTTAATTTTGCCATCAAGGATAATCACTTTGTCTTCAACGGTCAGCTATATGACCAAATAGATGGCGTGGCAATTGGGTCACCTTCAGGGCCGACTAACATATTCCTTTGTCACTATGACCGTTCTGGGTTAGACACATGTCCTGCTGAATACAAACCGACTTTATATTGAAGGTATGTTGATCATACATTTTTACTCTTTAGAAGCTCTAATCACATCAAACAATTCTTAGATTATTCAAATTCGAAACACCTTAATATTAATTTTACTTGTGAAACTGGAAAAAAGTGGTAAGTTACCCTTTCTTCATATCCAAATCAGCAGGTTAGATAACCAACTTGCAACATCTATTTATCGTAAGAAAACATATACAGGCTTACATACTCGTTTCGACAGTTTTATTCCTCCCTCCTTTAAACGTAACCTGATACTCAGTCTTCCCAATAGAGCATATAACATCTTTTCTGACTTTTTCTCTCTTTATACCGAAATAACCACCATACTAAATATTATAATAAACAACGGCTATCCCTTGCATTTTATTCAAGCCCTAACACACAAATTTCTTTCTAACAAAAATGAGCCCTAAAAAACATATACTGTAGACAAATACCCATTAAAACTGATCGTCCCTTTTTTTTTAGGTAAACAAAGTTTCATACTGAAGTCACAAGTTTTATGAATAATTAAAACTTTTTATTCACAGATTAGACTACAAATGATATTTAAAACATCTTTCTAGATTCAAAATCTTTTCAGGTCTAAAGACCTCTTACCTACCCCTACACGTTCCATGTGGTGGCTGTAATTCACTGACATTGGAAAAACTCTGCGTCAGTTACATCTTCGAACATATGGGAGTGTCAAGCAGATCTGATAAACAATTATTAAATCCTTTAAACTCCACAATTCGCGTACATAATGAAATCAACCACCACCCCACCTTGATTAAAAATTTCAAAATAATCTCATGTGGATCCTCCAATATTGAACTTTTAATTAAATAAAGTTAAACTATTATAAATAAATTAACAACTTTAAATAATAACACAACTTCATTACAATTAAGTCTTTTTTGAATAACATGGAAAATATTGTTACAATACTCTATGCCCTTTTGTTTCTGTTTTTTTAAGAGAACATGAGTACATTTCTTTAACTACGAGAGGAAAATCAATACAAAACAGTGGCTCAAGTGAATCTTTTAAAAAACAACGAAATAGAATGCTTCTTAGCGAAATATTAAGAAGGTGAAATACACTAAACTGAAGAATTATTCTCATTTAAGCAACTTGAATAACACGTATCAGCATTGCATTATTATCTTTGTGTAGATAGTACTTTCAGATATTCATCTAAAACTATTATCGGGAATATTTTGGTCGGTAAATTTTCTGCAGCTAATAGATCTCTTATGTGGTAGAAGAGGAAATATATGTTAAAAAAAATCGTTACAGTAGTTGATGTGTATTGTTTTATTATGCCATTTATTCGTACAGTAATCCTATCTTTGTATAGGAATTTCATGATTATGCATACTTGATACTACTAACTTACTCTTGTGCATTACTCCATCGTACAAGTTGTTCAAACTTATTAACTTTTGACCCAATAAATCTTTTAGTTCACTGCTTATTTTCGAATTATACCACTTTCAGGGAATTCCACCTGTCATCAGTAAATTTTGAGATAAATTTGAAAACGCTAAGAGTAGGCCTCATATAGTGTTGGAGTGTGTATTATACGAGTGGTGTATTTAAAAGTATTTTACTCCTACATTAATCTAATTTTTATATAGGACATTTTAAGGATATGCATATATGACGATACTAATCAATTTTTGTCTATTATGTAGCTAAATAAACTGTCCAACTATCTAAGAAATAAACTTGTAGCCCATCCGTCATCCAAGTTATCACTTTTCACTGAATTGTGCTTCTTTCAGAGTATTGTAGCTTTCGTTATTGATCTCATAGAATATGTAAGATTTTTATATCTATTTATGTATGTTAAAATATATATATACATACAGCCATATCATTCTTATGATGTTATTTTGGAATCAGTTTTTGTTTAAATTTCTGTAATTCTTTTAAATTTTCTTTTCTGTATCATTTCATTTGGAACTGCTTTTAAAATGGTTTAGTGTTATGAAAAGAGCATCTGTTACAGGCCAGATTATTGGATAATTTATCTATTTTGACTATCGGGGATCAAGAATTGTGAAATATTTAGTCTGTAACGACAATGAAATTTTTATAAGTGAAGATAATGTAAGTTATATAGACGGTGACACTCACTGTTGAGAATAATGTTAATATTGTTACGTCTCCGTTTGTTAATTGATTTCCCGTAAATTCGTTCCTACGAAACTTTAGCGACACAAGTCCTTACTTAATAAAACTGGTTTATTCTTTCCGAATATAACTTTACGATACACTTAATTTCAACAATCGCGCTAAAACAAACGCTATAACAACGAACGTGCTCAACTTCAATAATACTCTCTGACTGCAGATCAATTACTCACTGTTTACACACACATTGTTCCGTCACGTTGTCACCCTCTTATATATATATACCAGACTACCCTATATCTAGTAATCTCCCGACTATTCCCGAAGGTTCGAGAGGTGGCGTAACACTAGTCACGTGACCTCGCTGACGCAACAATATAAAAATATATGTTGTATCGTTCGTACAAGCTTATGTCAGTACTCGGCCATCAACCTACCGCTAAATCTCGGGCTACTTTTTACTAACGAATAGTGAGATTCACGTTACATCCTCCCTATTGTCGAAAAGGACAACATGGTACAAGGAAATATAACAATATATAAGATGTTATACTTATCACATGAAAGCTACACTAAGCCGTAACAGCTAGAGTATTAGCATTCCTACCAAAATAAATTATAGATGATAAAAACCTTTATACACATTGTATTATAGTGAATCATCTAAAAACATCTTTTTAAGTAAACAGATTCGTCACGTCATACGATACTACAATGATTTTTGTACACCTTAACCGTAAGGTCGAATAGCGAACATCGAATTCAGATGGTAATGACACGTTAACTGAATTCCAGAAGCATCTAAATTCGATCAGCCTTACTATACA